AAGGTAATTTTTATAAATTACATATCAAATCAAAATTAGTAAAAGTTACTAGATTGTAAATGATGCTTATTCGTTATATCGTTATACTTATGTACGGAATAAGTATTTATAAGATAAATACTTATAAAATTTCAAATTCCGCTGTAAACTCTGTTCTGTACGGTATATCGAACCCAACAGCTCTGGCTATCACAATGAAGAGCAGTAGAGGATGACTGAGGGACACCAAGATCAACAAGTAATCGACGCAACCATAATAGCTCTGCGGTGGAATTAGCAAGAGCACGATACTCAGACTCGGTACTCGAACGGGAAACCAAGGTTTGCTTCTTACTGCGCCAAGAGACAAGTGAATCACCTAAGAAGAAGAAATACCCGGTAGTGGAGCGATGATCAGTAGGATCTCCAGCCTAATCTGCATCACAGTAGCCGCTAAGGAAAAAGGAAGAACTGGCCGCGAAATATAAACCATGCAATAAGGTGCCCTTCACATAGAGAAGGATATGCAACACAGCAGAATGATGCGTGGTTCTCGGAGCAGCCATAAACTGACCCACAATATGAACAACATGAGCTATATCAGGCCGAGTGACAGTCAAATATATCAAACTCCTAACAAGCTGGCGATATAACGTAGGATCCTCAAGAAGAGAACCATCCAATGGAGTAAGACGAATATCATAACCAAGAGGTGTGGAAGCTGTCTGGCAATCAGTGAGACTGGCCCCAGCAAGAAGGTCAGAGGCATACTTGGCTTGAGACAAATAGAAGCCATCAGAGGAATCATAAATCTCAAGACCCAGAAAATAGCGCAGACGACCCAAACTCTTCATCTCAAAATGCTGTCGAAAATAATCCTGTAAGTCAGAAATACCCGAAACATCATCCCCCGTGATAATCATATCATCAACATAGAGCAACAAAACAATGATCCCAGATGAAGAGCACCAAAAAAATAGGGCAGAATCGTGATCACTCATAGTGAAACCAAACTGAAACAATGCAGAACTGAACGTGGCGTACCAGGCACGAGGCGCTTGTTTCAAGCCATACAAAGCTCGGCGCAGACGACAAACCTTCCCAGAGGACAAGAACCCAGGAGGAGGAGTCATGTAAACCTCCTCAGATAATGCACCGTGCAAGAAGGCATTCTTAACATCTAACTGTAGAAGAGACCATCGACGAACTGCAGCAACTGCAAGTAGACAACGTACAGTAGTAAGACGAGCAACCGGTGCAAATGTCTCTTCATAATCTATGCCATACTCCTGTGAGTATCCCTTAGCAACAAGACGAGCTTTGTAGCGCTCAATAAATCTGAATTTGTTTTGATCTTGTAAACCCATTTGCATCCGATGGGTTTTTTGCCAGCAAGTAGATCAACTAGATCCCAAGTATGAGTCTTGTCTAAGGCCTGCAATTCCTCAGCCATAGCTTGTTGCCACAATGGATCAATACTCGCCTAACTAAAAGACCTAGGCTCATGATGAGATAATATAGCCGAAAAACAATGATAATCAAGTAAATGAGAAGGGGGACGACTTACACGAGTCGACCGTCGCTGATCAATAGCTGGCAAAAGTACAAAACCAGAAGAGGGCTCATTACGAAATGTCAGTTCAGGATGCACAAGTGGAGCCACTTCAGAAGACGGAGGCATGACAGGCGTGTCAATGAGCTGAGAGTCAGAACCTGTATCTGTATCTAGAAAAAGATCTAAAGTAATAGACATGAATAAAGGAGATGCCGAATCAAACAGAATGTGGAACTTAGACAAGGAGGAAAAAGTAGTATGCTCCCAAAAGGTAACATGACGCGAGATACGCAACCTATTAGAAATCGGATCCTAATACCTAAATCCTTTGTGTTCTACCCCATAACCCAAAAAACAACACAGACGAGCTCGGGGTTCTAATTTGGTCCGCTCATGGGACGGGAGGAGAACAAAGCAAGCACAACCAAAAGGACGTAACTGAGTATAATAAAGAGACTGACCGTACAACCTCTCAAAAGGACTGACATCCTTAATGACTGATGAGGGTAACCTAATGATAGCATAAACAACAGTCAAGGTTACCTCACCCCAAAAACGATCAGGATACTGAGCAGAAAGAAGAAGAGCATGTACAGTATCAAGAATGTGACGGTGCTTACGTTCAGCTCGTCCATTTTTTTGGGAAGTATATGGACACGAACGTTGAACTAAGGTGCCCTGATCAGAAAAAAATTTCAAAAAAGTAGAATCTTTGTACTGAAGAGCATTGTCAGTACGCAAGACCTTTATAGGACAAGAAAATTGTGTAAGAATCATTTTAGCAAATTGAACATATATGTTGGACAACTCAGAACGATATTTGAGAAAATATAAGGTAAAACGAGAAAAATCATCAACAAAAATAACAAAATACTGAAAACCACTCAGAGAAGCAACATGAGAAGAAACCCAAATATCAGAATGTGCCAAACCAAAAAGTTTATCTGCGGTTGACAAACTATCAGAAAAAGAAAGAGTCGGTTGTTTCCCAAGTTTGCAATGAAGACAACTAAAAGACTCAAAATGACCTGAACCCAAAAGACCCTTATTATATAAAGAACGAACTTTATTCGAAGACGCATGCCCAAGACGAAGATGCCAATGGAAACTAGACTTACTATCGGTGGCAGAAGCAGAAAAAGAGTAAGAACGAGGGACATGAAGTGACTCAAGCTCAAATAACCGGCCCGTCTTGCGACCTTTCCCGAGAAGCTGTCCCGTCTGTGAATCCTGAACCTGAACACCAGAAGATGAAAATATAACATTAAGACCTTGGTCAACCAATTGACCAACAGAAATAAGATTCAAGGCCAGGAATGCAGTATGTGTCGGGAAGATGCAAGGAAGGGGAAGAAATCAAACGAGTGTGAGTAACATTCATAAGAGTACCATTAGCAGTATGTATAGGAGGTAAAGAGGTTACAGAAGACGAGGAAGACAAAAGTTGCGGGCTAGAGGTCATGTGATTGCAATCGCCAGAATCAAAATACCAATGTGATTTACCTCTGGTAGCAGACATATAAGAATTGGAAAGAATAACCTGTTTGAGAATAGCCTCTATGTCTTGAAGAGTGTAAGACGAGTGCTGAGGCTCAGTAGTGACAACCGCTGTAACAGAAGAAGTGGCGGTAGAGGAAGACCCATGATGTCGAGAGAATGAACCTCTCAAACGGTGTGATCTGGCTGGACCATATGTAGCAATATGACCCCGAACATGGCAAATGTGGCATACCACCGAAGGACAAAATGGAGCAATATGACCCTGAACATGGCAAATGTGGCAGACCACCATAGAAGAATCCATATCCAAAAAATAAAGAAGCACCAACAACTAGCAACAGTAAGAAAATCACAAACTGTATCACAAACCGGATAAAATAGCAGTAAAAGGCCGAAATTAAAAACGACACGAAAATCAAAACCGACCACACCAGGACGTAGCCGCCGATGAGAGGAGTCGACGGCTGAAAAATCACGGCGATCGGAGCTGGGGGTGAATCTCACGCGCCGGCTGAAGCTCCCAGCACTGTCGCAATGTTCCGGCGAGTGTGGGTCCCACGTGCCTCCGAACGGGCCCAAATTTGTACTGACGGCTCGCCGGAAGATGCCAGAGAAGATGGTCTGGGAGGTGAGAATAGAAAACGGCCGGAGACGAGCGAAAAATACGAACCCTATATTGGACTATAAACCTAATCTGATACCATGTGAGATAGTGGAAAAAATATATGTTCTATATTATTCACAAGACATGTACACATATATATAGGAACATAATGAGTCTAAACCTAATGCTACAAGATATATACAAAATATATTCTAACCATATATACAAAATATATTCTAACACTCTTGTCAAGTAATTCCAGATATTCCTATATTGGCAGCACATAGCAAGGCAGTCCACGAGCATTAACCTTCTTTACCTTATAGTTGTATTTTGTCACTAGCAAATTTTTTAAGAGAGTTGAAAAGCCAGTACCACAAACAGAGACAAGTAACAATAAAAAAAAAAAAATCATTTTTGAGACCACAAATGCTTATATATAAGAACAACTCAATCGGAATTAAAATGCTATGGCTTGATCATGATCTTATAAGTGTCTCTTACCCTAGGCGGCGCATCCTAGCATAACTCTTTCTCTAGGCCGATGGAAATTAAAATGCTATGGCTTAATCATGATCTTATGGGTGTCTCTTACCCTAGGCGCATCCTAGCATAACTCTTTCTCTAGGTCGACGGCCTCCTTTATTAATTTGATATATCATATATGAATATTAAAATATAAACAAGAAAAGTTATAAAATTTTAAGAAAAAGAAGAAGAAACGTTTATAATAATTTGTATCGAATAAATAAGAAAAGTAATGGTAGGAACATGAAACGTAAAATATTTTATTATAACTAATTGTAAAAGAAAACAAGAAAGAGATCAAGAATGGATTAATATTAATAATGACATTAAATGAATCCAAGACTAATTATTTTGTATAAAAAGATATTCATTTAAATTCAAGACTGACTCAAAAGCATGATTTTTCGCCATATAAGATTCTGAAACGTAAGAGTCTGTTATTTAAGCTCAACGGATTCAATAAGTACATGTAGGAGTGTTATATATATGGGTGATGATTCTAGCCATTTTTCACATAAGAATAATATGTATATGTATATGTGTGTGTATTTGTGTGTACACACTTATCTTTAACTTAAAATGTATATCATACCTAGAGTATAATTTTGGCAAATCAACATCATTACATATTCAAATTCAATTAGACAAATTATATTTGTGTGTTCACACTTATCTTTAATTTAAAAAAAAAAAAAAACACTTTTAGACCACAAATGCTTATATATAAAAGATTGAGCTGCCAGGAAATTATGTAAACTGGAAACTCAGTAGCCAACCATATACGAGACCTTATAAGAACAACTAAGTCGGAATTAAAATGCTATGATGATAGATTTATTCTCTCCAGCTCAATCGAAAGCGCATGAAATGCTGCACCCACTTAAAATCCTCTGGCAATAATGCTTCCCAAAATTCCGACCAACTTCTCTCAAGGACAGGACGCCATTTTTTCCGGTTTTCATCAGATGTTGCAACGATTACATTCTCAACTTGTCGTGTTTCAAAGATTACTTTCTCAAGATCTTGTCGCCAATGATGGCCCCTTGTTATTCGGCCACTTTCAAATTCTCCCTTCTCCATTCCCAGGATCTTGCACATCAACTTTGTTGTTTTGTTGCGCCCCTTCCGAATCTTACATTTGGATTCAGGGCCAACAACAAGAGACCGTTGTATAATTCTCGGACGACAAATGCAAAATAAAATATCCATAAGAGACGAGACCAAACGCGAAGATATCATGAGCTCCCTAATATCTAGAGATATTTCGGATCTGCTTACTGCCTTGAGCAGTTGACCTACTTTGCCCAACCTTGGTGAAGTCTCATCGAACAAAAGATCATGCCTCAGGGTTATATCCGATTTCCACTTTTCGGAAGTTGTCGTGAAAGAAAATGATTCGGGAGCACGACCACCATACTTAAACATGACTATGCTTGGCACATCAATAACAACCCTTTTCAACGACACATCATGACTAGACAACTCAAATTTCTTGATTGAACAACTAGACAGCTCAAATTCCTCAAAGCCATAGCAAAATTTCAAGGATAGAGTTTCCAGGCAAGGGAAGTTATGCGAAAAGAAGCCGAATGACTCTGTAGAGAGTCTCACAGAAGATATAATTAAAGACTTGAGATGAGGAAAATAGGTTTTCTTGTCGTGATACCAATTCGAACACCTACCAACATTGATTTCCTCAAGAGATGGGACGTCACTTTCAAGACTCGGGGACCCATTGACGTAGTATGAAACAGAGCATTCAAATCGCTTGAGATGGCGAGCCCGTTTATCGATTCTGATGGCTCTTGGCCCTACGCATTCCTTAAGCTCCAATGCAATCAACGGGCAGCTACATATTATCTTCTCAAGAATTTCCTCCGTAATAATAACGTCAAAAAGGCAGAGTTTTTTTAGATGAATTGACGACGACAGTGGAATATCAACGCGGTTCAAGTTGCTGTATTGAAGAGTCAAATATTGGAGGGACTCGGATTCGAAAATTATAGAGGGCGGATCAAAGCGCGTGTTTTTTGCATGCCAGTCGAGAAACAGAGAAAAGGTCTTTACACACAGGTCCCGTACGAGAATCGGTGTCCACTTGTCGAGAAACGAAATCGACTCGGCATCGAGCGTCGACATGCACACGACGAATCTTTCCGGGCAAATCTTGTGATCCAAGTATAGTTGTAAGTACCTTTCGAGGACGTTGATAAACTCTTGTTTGCTTCCTTTAAACTCGATCTCTCGCATGTCGAAAATGGGGCGTGTGGAGCCAAGATAGCGCCATGATTTGGACAGTAGGCAAGTTCTAACGGCTTCTTGTTGGGAGAGGCAATCGAGTATATCGTGCAATATCGGCTGTGGCAATTCAGATATTCTGTCGTCCTTCATAATTTCTGACTTTGTTTTCTTTGTTCATCGTTTTTCTGATGATCACTCCAATTTTTCAACTTATTTTCTTTTTAATTTGTTTCCTACTTTGCTTCCTCGTAGGATTCTATTACCATTATTTGGCTAATTACCAATTTGGAATTTTTTAGTAACTTCCCTTTAAGGTTGATTAATAAATTGAAATGTCCGTAAATTATTATTATTATTATTATTATTATTATTATTATTATTATTATTATTATTATTATTTATATATTTTCCTATATATATATATAAAAAGAATTACTACTATTTTTTGAAAAAGGCAAGTCAAATTGTGGTCAAAATGGTTGAGCATTAATTGCATGCTATTAATAGCAAGTTTTTATTTTATTTTTTTTATTTACAAATGTACATCATTAATTGTTGCATTTAAATGTGGAGTTTGTTAAGTGAAGTTTGTTATTATTTTTAATCAAGATTAGGTTGTTCCTTTTTCATTTTCACAAATTAAAAAAAACAAAACTTTCTTTAACATATAATTGTGTACCACATAGCAAATTTAATTTTACTAAAAAAATAAATTACGCCTAACATAATAATATAAATTTAAGTTAGTATGTACAAAAAATCAAAAACTCTTTTAACATCAACTCGGCTACTACATTTGTTTTAATCGGATGCTTTTATTTTTTTGATAAAATAAATTACAGTTCATTTAATAATCAAATTATATAATATTTTTATTCTATTCTTTTTATACTTTTCATATAAAAAGATAACAAAAAACTAATCTAATTATAAAATCGTTAATATTTTATTTGCGCAAGAACGGGTTGTAACATTTTCATTTTCACAAATTAAAGAATTTTTTTAACAGAAATAAGATTATCAAATTACATATTTTTTTATAAAAAAAATTTACGGTTGGTTTAATAATAAAAAATAACTTTAGTATTTGCAAATAATTTGAAGCCTTTTGAACATCAAATCGGCTAATACAATTAAATTAATGAATTCTTTATTTTTTTAAAAATATCAATTCCTAATATTGCGGTTCATTTAATTTTAAAAAAGAAATTTTTTTTATAACAGAAAATCGTGAATCACATTGCGGCCTAGATTGGTAGATTTGGTTCCATTATGTTCTAGAAATTTTGATTATTGAAAATAATTTGAAATTCAAAATTATTTCTCATATTTGATTTATTAAATTCGATTGTGTTTTTTATTTCCAAAGAATCAGATTGCCGAAAAAAATACCTTTTTGAATTGAAAATATGAAATTCAAAATCCCTTCTTGAATTAGTTGCCATAAAATTGAGCTTAAGTCAAAATCTCTTCCTAATATAAAGAATTTTGTTCAGATTGAAAAAAAAAATATCTAATCACATGCTTCTATCATTGGACGGATAACCTTAAATGAAGAATTTTGTGCCACTTTAAAATTAACAAACATCTTGGAAATTACAAAATCGCAATGAATTTTGAAAATTTTTGTTTCAATTTGCATGAAATTCAAAATGGTTTAAGAATTTCAAATCAATTGAAATCTTTAATTTTTTTTCATAAGTTTCAAAATTTTACAAAAATTAAGTTAAATTACAAATGTATTGTTCAAAATCAAGAGGATAGTTTTAAAAATAGATAATTTTTTTTTTTTCAAAATTGTCTTAATCTTCATTCAATATAAAATAAAGCTAATATGTTATGAGTTTTTAATTATTTAAACATACAAATTTTATGTTCTCTTGAACAAGTTAATTTTATATCGTTTATAATAAAGTGATATACCGTAAATTGTATGACATGTTAACCCCACATCGCTAATTTATAATTATTATTTAATATTGTTTACATCCATCTTTATTTTTTCTTGCTCTTTAAAGAGAGGATTAAAAGTTGTTTCCCACTTTTTGCATTGCGTGACTCGAACTCGATACATATTTATAATAAATATTTAATATTATTTACCCGTGCATTGCACGGGATACGCACTAGTATTCAATAGTATCATTTATTTTCTGTAGCAGTAAAATGTAGCCGATAGCCCAATAAAACCACAATGTATGCATGCAATAGATTCTTAATTCAGATGAGTGCAAGTGATTATTAATATTTATTATGATTTATATTTTTATTTAATTTATGCTTAAAATTCAAAATACCCATTAGTATAATAAAATAGAAAACACATATAATAAATTGTATGAATATATTGAGATTGAAACATATTCTTTAATGGTATTAATCAAAAGCTATAGTCAAATAAAAAATATATAAATAAATATATGTTTAAAGATTAAGAAATGAAATCATTCCCCCTTTCAAAGTGCTCTAACTCTATCTCTCTCTAACTCTATCTCTCTCTAAAAAACCCAAAACCCAATACCAGATCTAGGGTGCCTCCCAAGGACGAATCTAGCGAACAGAATAAGTGGAGGCCTAGTCGTTGTTAGAAAAAAATTATTATATTATAATAAAAGTATAGATACAAAAATACACATTTATAATATACTTATGAGTTTTCACATATAGCTCAACATCGTCCTACAATAACATTGTTGAATTTTTTTATGGCACTTTCTTTTGGCCAAAGTCTAACAATATTAGAATTCACAACAAGTATATTTAGAATTAAAGTATCTCATTTTAAAACATTTTAACATAAACTTTTTTTTTCAAGGCGTTTTACAAAAATATTTCTCCATAATTTATGTTAAAAAAATAAATATAATGTATAAAAAAAGCTATAGTGGATAAAATAGTTTACTAATATATA